AAAAAATATGGGGTGGAGGTAAGAACTATGCCGTTCGGGTTCGTGAAGCTGAACGCTGAGTAGTAGGAGAAAGAGCCGCTTTGTTATTTGGGAAAAGAAAATGCTTTTTTGTGTGATCAAAAATGGAATCTTTGAAATCATGTTAAAAAACGCTGGTTTTTAAAATCTATATGATGCATAGCTCTTGAAGAAATAATGTTCGCAATGACTTCTTAATTTTGTATGCACAAACCTCGAGCTTCACAAACGACTTTTACTTTTATTGGGTGCTTGAAAATACAAACATTTCTTCTCATCCAAACAGTTCATAAGCGCGAAATACTGTACATGTATATCATATTAATACACTGACGATGTTCATCGTGTTTTTCTGTACGCTCTGGGTAGTACGCCTATACGGTCATCCGTTGTCTCAGGCCTCAGGGGAACGCCACTGCCTCGTATAGAAAAAGATTTTCGCCGTGATCATCATCTTGTCACACCCCCCCCCACATTGTTTTGAATGGCTTTTCCCAATTACGACACGCGACCGTAGTGCAGCAGGTGGGTCAGTGATGTTGCGTCGCCGGGCCGAAGATGGAGTATATAGGCCGTGTGCATCTGAGAGTGGGGTTGATGTGGGAGAAGGTTAATAAGTGTGATGTTGATGAGGAAGCAGACTTGTATATAAAGTCCATCGCAAGTCAAAATCCGGCGTCCATCACGAGTAAAATCTCATGTTACGAAGAAGAAGTTTGCTATTTCATCGTTCGTTTAAATAGCCGAACTTGTGTGTTGACTTGAAACTAGATGACCAATTAACGAGGACTTGACCAATAGCAATAACTTCCACGAAAAGACAGGAAAATCGAGAAAGTGGTGATGGGGAACTTAGCATTGACAAATGCGATATGTTGGATCGATGGTGACTTCTTGATGGCATAATGCCGGTGGTGCAATACTGCATAATCTCTGTCGGGATGTAGAGGGGTTATGCCACCTTTGATGTCAACGTTTGTGGTAATGGGGATGACAGTAGATGGTGACCGTGTTTATTTATTTGTGACGATCACGGCGAAGCCTCCTGTGATGTGACTATGGGAAGAGGGTGACAGTGACACCGCGAGAGCTGTGATTCTGATGGCAATAGTTGCGGATAATATATACAGTGAAGACGACTACAATGTAATGGCACGTGATGGTGGTGCTCGAGGTGAATACAGGCTGCGTGGACGGTTACCATGAATGGAAAATGGCTGTGGAATAATGGATACTGAGATAATGTCATCGTCAAAATGAGTGGCAACTGAACCCAATAGAAATTGCTAGTGGAATTTTTGTTGAAGTCATTGGCTGAGTTAGCGAAACTTGACCCTATCTGGAAATCCATTTCCAGTGGCTCAGAAGTGACACCGCAGAGCAGTCCTGTTCTAAAAATATTTGGTAACATCTGTCCGCATCTGCCCCAGAAACCAAAGACCGCCAAATTACCTCAGGATTCGGGGCCAAAACAAAGGTTAAAAACATAAGTTCCAAAACGTCAAGGATAAATCACCAGCGGCCCAGTTTCAGGGGCGAAGCTCGGCCGTCACGTAGCGTAAATTGCACCAGCCAGCGGCTGCATATCTCGGAACCAGTCATGACGAATTACAATAAATAATACCACCATCCCCCGACAGAGAGGGGAATTTTGACAGTTGCTCTCCTTTCTTTTCTCCCGGATGTACTTCATATTCAAAGGTCGACAAGAACAGTGCGAAAGCATGTGTTCTGAGAAGCGGGAAGGGAGCCCCACCCGAGCAAAATTTACGATATTCTTCTTCTACCCGAGTCTGGAGGAAAAGAAGTATGAGCGAACGAGAGAGAGAAAAAACAGAGGTCAGGTTCTAGTTGAGTTTAACCCCTTGTCGGGTGCATAATACCTGATTTATGGCGATATGAGAAGGAACTATCGGTTTCTGATTGTTGCTTCAAATTGGAAGCAGGCTTTTGCATTTTTGGCATTGCAGCCAGGAGTGTTTAACTCCCGGACGCACCACTTCCATGCCAATAAACTTGAAAACCGCAAGCGATTATGATTATTTCATACCAGCTTTTGTCGGCACTGGAGACAATTTACAACTCCTCTCGGAGGATTGTTGAACTTGTTACGTCACGTCTTTGAAGGAGCAAGCCCCCTTGCAACAAAAAAGTCTCCCCAAGAGAATCGATTGTGAAAGTCACATATTAAACATGCCCTGGAAATACTGATTTTGAGAACAAACGATGCAGCGTTGTTTGTTCATTTGCTTGCCCTTTTTAAGTCTTCGACAGAGGGCGCTTTTTGGAATCAAGCGAAAGTCGTAACCTGATACACGGCCAGTGTCATGATCCGACCACTCTTCTATTTTTTTCTCCCACACCGACCACTCTTGTATTTTTTTCTCCCACAACCTCTAAATTTTGTGGCTGTGTGCTCAACATTTTGTTTACGATAATTCTGACCGATCCCACTCCTTATTCCCAAGCGTTCTGAGTAAGGTTTCAATTAGGCTAATGGGGGGGAGGAATTCCCGCACATTTTGAAAATGTGGAGTAGGAAGTTATACTCTCTTTGTGACCTGCATTTTTGTTCGAGTAAGCTATGCAAAATCCCAAACAATCTAACCAACTTGTTTCTCGTTCTAGATACGATACTTGCACGCAATCCTCGTGGGAAATGCACACGGCATGTCTTGTGTCTTTTTTTTTCTAACAAAATATGATAATGCTGGCTACACATCCGATCCGACCGGGCCCCACCACTCCTAATAAACGAAGGCTTTTACAGCAAAATGCCAACATTGGAAACGTGTAAACAATACATTGTGACCTATGTGCCCCGCCAGTCAGTGAGGCCAATTGCAACGTCGATAACACATCGCTGTGACTGCCGTTTTTTTCTGGAATAAAACAAATTTTTAAGGCTTAAAATTTGAGCAGGAAATTAAGTGGCCTTTTGTCATGAAGAAATGCTGAGTAAGGAACGGCAAGCATGTAAAGAAAGGTCATGGTGAAACGAGGAGAAAATTAGGTTCATGAGAAAGTCGTAGAAATGAAATCACAGGGACTGGCAGTGGTCCGAGCTGACCACAATACATCCTTGACTGACCACACTAACCTTCTGGAAGTGCACAGATATTTTCTTAGAAATGAGATGGGAATAAGATGGGATATAAAGAGGAGGAGAGAGAGGGGAAGAGGGTCTTTGAGATTTGGACTTGCTTTGTATCACATCTGCTAGTGCTACTGTAGAAATAAATAAGTATACATGTAGATTAGCAGAGAAGCGTGATCATGTGAGTTTGTCAGAAGTACAACGGTTTCGTCGTAAAGAAGATGAAACTACATTACTGTCTACACCTTTCAAAACTGATCTTTAATAACAGTAAACAAGCTGAAAAACTGTCATCCAGGATTCAAACCATGGACAGTCTTCATGTTTCCCTTTTTCCCTTACCCCATTCTCCACGCAAGTCAGTTGTGACTGACTTACATTTTATACGTTACTTTGAGTCCACGTATTTGCAAAATGCTGTAGGAACTGTTGTGTAATACGGCCGTTTCACAATAGTGCACCACCAAGAGTTTGCAATGCGTTGGCCAATCACAATGTGTCGACCCAGTGAGCGTCTGGAAAGGGTCGACAAATTTTGCGCGTTATGATTGGCCAACGCATTGCAAACTCTTGGTTGCGCACTATTGTGAATCGCCCGTATTCAAGTGCCTTTATGATTATGTGTTACCTGCATATTTCATACACTTGGTATATGGCTTTAAAAAACTTGTCAACAGCAATGAGTAGTCAGAACGCTCGAGCTTCAGATAAGTAAATGATATCGGGTGGGGGTCACATATGATCTTGAACAAATTGCAATTTAACCTGACGACAGTTGGAGGTGAAATGTACCATGGAAATTAGATCTGCGGGACTCGGAAACTCCCAAATTTCCCCGCAACAAACCAGTAAATTATGACATGATATCTCCCTCAACTCTTGAAAAGGCAGTTAGTTTTGCATCATCATTCATCATAACATAAAGATAACTGATAATCCCCCACTGGGACAGTGAAGTTAGATTATCATCAAAGAATTCTTATCAAGCATTTGTGTTATGGGGACATGCCATCCGAAAACTAAAATAACAAACAAAAGCAAGGTGGATTATGCAATCAAAGTGCGGTTCCCGGGACTGATATTAGGGAATCCTTTTGTAAAATGTAGCACAGACGACCCCCGTCCGTTCGTTTGGAATCGCACCCTTCGACATTTGTTTCATTGAGAGAGTTTTGAGGATTTGATTGGTGGGAATCAAGGTGTATATTCCTTACAGATTTTTTTTTTAATTCTGAGAATGCACAAATGAGGTGATGTAAATGATCTAAAAATGCTACAACAAATCAGAATTAATTTAGTTGCACCTCGATGGTCAGGCTTGTTAGCTTTGTTAAGGTACCAAAAAAAATCAGTGGTTCTTGCTCGCCAAAGTCTCACTCTAGAACCTGACAAATTATAACTGAGAATATATTGTGATGTTTCAAAACAGTGTGGTTAAAAAAAAACTCCGGTTAATTCCCCTTGGAAATCAGCCTATAAATTTTGATGTCTTGTTATGCATTGCAAAAACGGTAAAGACCTTGAGAATTTGGTCTTGCAAACACGTAATTTACCGCATTATGTTCAGAATTTGCGGAATTTAATAAAATGGATCTTTAATTATTTTACTTAATGAAAAGGGGAGCTCGCATTTTTCAATGGTTTTGTCATAGGCCCAATATGCAGGTTATTATTTTTTATGCCTGCCTTGTGAATGTGCGCCAAATGGAAACCTTATGTGTTACCTATGGATAATAGGTAATATGGATAATAATTTTTTTCTTATAGAAGTGAGCGACGTCAGTGTATTGTCACTAACCCAGTTGGTTGATAACATCGGTGGTACATGGCTGCTTGATTGCATAATCATGATTTCTTTCTCTTTTGCACTGCGCACTTTCTCCAGGTCGCTCTGTGATTGGCTGAGGGTACGCCATCCAGCCTGGAAGACAGCCATCTTGGGCCATACAAAGGCCGCTCCACTGACAGCAGTAAATCCACAAATTCCTCAAGCCAGAAAAGCCATAAAACGGGCAAAACGAGGTCACAAATCAATCTCTCAAATGAGCCAATACTTTCTCAAGTCGCTGTTCGAGAAATATCAGCCGGGGGAGTCATGGTTTCCGAGCGGTTTCGAGCCGGTGGCGCCCAGTCGGGGAGCGTTAGTGGGGGACGGGGCGGCTCCAGCCGGCTGGCGATGCGGGGCCGGCGTGGCCAGCGGCCCGTATGGATCCTACGATAATTCACCGGCCGCCACGAACTGTATGGCCGGAGCCGGGCTCAACAGCCAGGCCTTCACAGCCGCTTACAACTACCCATCCTGTTCTTTCAATGCCACCTACTCCCAGTCGGGCTACGACAACCAGTTCAATACGTACGCGGGCGGCTATGCCACAGCAAACTACCACCAGGGGGCTTGGAACCATGCAGACAAGGGGCCGACGGCAGGAGTGTTAGAGGGTGCCTGCTACCCGCTACAGATCAGCAGAGTTACTCAGTTAGAACCTGACAGACAGCACAGTAAGGATAGCCTTCACCATTCAAATAAAGACAAAAAGTCGGACTCTAATAACGCAACGTACAAAGGTCCCGTTTACGGATGGATGAAAATTCCAGGTAAGAACTCAATTCATTGGAATCCACGAAGTGTGATAAAAAATTTTCATTGTCTTTTTCCTTTTGAATTATACCTACAAATTTATGCTTGATACCGCCTCCGTAAAGAACCACTGGAAAGAAACAAAGCACAGAACACATGCTTTGATATGAACTAAAAGGCCGCATTTCTCAGGCAGATTAAAAACAATTTGCATTGAGACTTCAGATTCAGTTTGGATCCTAGCAGTTTATAATTCCTCTCTGTCCCAAATCAATAAAAGTCATAAATTGTTAGTGTTTCTAATGAAACAAATGTATTATTAGGCTTAGCTGTCATGAAAATTACAACCTGCAGCATCAGTAACTGAATTAGAATGACACTCCTTTGTGACGGGTTGACGAAATCTAAGAGACTCCAACATTATGGTGGCGGGAGATTTATGCTGCCGCATAAATTAAAAATACTGAAATCAATTGATACGGTTTACGGGGTGATCTTTATTGCTTTGGGGAAATTAATATAGGAGCCTGTATCTTCTCCAAACATTTGTTTCAGTGTAAATGGTATTGGTTACGTGATGGTCCGTAATTACACCCGCCGGCCTACCGTGGATGCGCGCGTTTCGCCCCACTGTCTTTGGTGAGGTTTCATGCAAGTGTGGCCAGATGTTTTTTTATTGTATACTAGGTGTCTCCGTCGCTTTCCGGGCTTGTCGTCATCCGAAAAATAAATTGAAATTCCAGTACAGAAAGGACAGTCAACCTTTTAACCAACAGCATCATTACTATCTATCATCTATTTTTCTCTCAAATAATCATTCCCTTTTCTCTGTTGTATTTTGTAAATAAGGTATTTCATTATTAGAGAAATAAAACAAATGTCATAATTGTGAAATACTTAAATATTACAGCAACGTTCTGGTTCTTGAGGTATACACGTATCTGTGTTTTCTTTGATCTCAAACAGTTTTGTTTAAATGAGTATTACTTTCTTAAACCCAGAAACATGTATCAAATCTATATTGTTTGATGCCATTGGCGAAGGTAAACATTCTTTCGTGAATGATATACAAGTATCATTGCTTTTGCAAAAGTTCTGACAATTTTAACAGCAACTAATAGCAATGATCGAATTTAAGACAAAAATTCCTAGACCACATTACACTAGAGAGGGAGTAAGACATTTCAACGTTGCCTACCCTCACCAAATAAGATAAAGAACATCTGTGCATATCTGATCATTATAAGTATTTTAAAATTCCTCGACTGAAGTGAAAAGTATTGCACTGTAATATACCCAAAATGGATGCAGAAAACAGGCTCAGTTTCAAATTGATTCAAATAGATTCTGATCATCGCTCATAAGAGAGAATTCTATTCTCGCGTAGAGCGACACTGGAAATCTTGGGAGTCGGACTTTCTTGTAGTCGCTGGTTTTAAGTCGGCGCGCGGTCCAAACACGAAAGCCCCAAAGACAGCGCAATTTGTTTCAAACCCTCATAAACCCAGTTTGTCATATTTTCACCCCGGAATTGACCAGGCAGCACCTCGACTAAAGCTGCTTATTGTTACTACAGACAGTAGAATTAGCCTGTCATGTAGAATGACCATAAGCGTTTCTTCTTCTGCACACCCTTATACCACGATAGAGTCGACACCACATGCGCTTAACATTAACTGGGAAAACTCAATTTGCTGGTTGACTGAACCGAGTTGAACTTGTGGCAAACTTTCTTTTAACCTGCTAAGCACACAGTATCATTCTTTTCAAAGGCAAGTAACCTGTGCATTATGACGTCGGAGACATTTTGTATAACTTGAATTAAAAAGAATAATTCTGCTTCTTTGCACGGCACAGTGTTAGTCATGATTTGCTGAAGGCCACTGAAGGAAATAATTAAATAGAAAAGTAAGCATCAATTTTACTCCATTCCTTCAATATATATTGGCGATATGTTTACGCAATCTTACACAGATCGCATTACAAAATGATGGCATTATTCTGTATGATACACAAAGCCTATTATGTTAGGACAAATTAGCCGTGTTATATGTGATCCATCGACAGCTGGAGATCCGAAACCCGCATGCTGTATACAGTTAGTGGGTGAAACAAGCAAGAAAACAAGCGTGTAATGAAACTTGGAAACAAAGAAGGTCACACGGGGTGATGTACGCACTCCCTGTGCGCAACCCCTTGTTTCCTTGCGGGAAACACTCCTCATTCCTACCTAGAACCTTGCCTTCATGTATGGATTCTAACGTTGTTGAAAGATTGCAGCTTAAAGCAAATCTTTCAGTTATCCCTCACTCAATAATCTGGAAAAGAATAATTATGTATGAATATCAACGACATTGCGTATTGTGCGTATTTACTAATGCATTATGCCAATTCTAGAATTGTTGTTCTAATTAATTTTTTTTCAGCGCTGTAAGCTGCTAATCACTTCAAGTATAAAGCTGAAGGTATAAAGCTATTTAATAGTGTTATGTATTGTACGAGAGGCAAAACGTGTTCTTGGTTAGTTATAATTATGTAAGTTTATAGAAAGACTTAAACCAATGTCAAGTTTATCTAAAGGTTAAACTAATTTTGTACTGTTATGATTTTTAGTTTATTCCCAACCTATAAGGTACACAGATATCAGGTTTCTTTGATAGGCCAAAGTTCTGTGCAAACTCAGTACCAGGGAAACGCAAAGAAAAGTGACTACAAAGAATTTATTTTCCTTTAGTTAGTGTTTTAGCATCAAAAACTATAAAGAAATGTCCAGTGAGTAGAAAATCTATCATTCTGTGTGAAAAATGACGACTATTTCGCCGATTCAGATGACAAATTCGTTCCGTCTCCAACATGACGATTTGGGTGCAGATTTCTTCAAGAAATACTGCCTTTGTTACTGAGCCATAAAGCTCAGAGAGACCAAAGAAATATAAAAACGCCTTCACCTACCCGCAAGATTGCAAATGATGTTTGCCGATGCAGATTACATTGGCATACTCCCTTATCTTGGGCTACAAAAGGAGAAAGCCCCTGAAGAACAACCTGCAATATCGCTGCCAAGAAAATAAATGACTACGGTGGGCAATGAATCAAACAAAGTGAGGTTTTTACTGCAGGTAGTTAAACTCAAAAACCCCGCTGAGAACATATACGATTGTGATTCGAATGTCAGTAGCGGGGACTTGAAAAGAAACAAATTCCTCGGTGCGCGGGAGAGTCCTATCGCGTGCACGCTGCACAGCGGGCGTAATCATAGTCTTTTATCAAGACTCTGCAGATTTGAGTTTTCTGAGGGTTGTTAGCGGTTGAGGAAACGCATTTCATATCTGGAGCGCCCAGATCATTATCCTGTAGAGCATTTGTTGTATTAATAATAATGAATAGATATGCCGCCAATTATCCAAACAAACAGTTTGTACAAAACTTTGCAAAAAAACCGTATAATTTGATTTTTTTCCTTAATTTGTGCCAAGAATGGTAATCGACACTAGCTATCTCAAGAGGAATAGTTGGCCTGTGAAAAGACAGATAGAAGTTAATACGCTATATACCGCTTTCCCTGATTAAAGTTCCACTGAAATTTTCTTCTCCCATCAAATATTTGATTCTGTAAGACAAATAGGCCTAATCCTAGTTCCAAAGTTGTTCTTTTCTTTTTCTTTCTTTACCTACATTGTTCTTCCTCCACTGTGCACCAATTCAGAAAGTATTTTCTGAATTATTTAATTTTGTTTTTGGAAACTTACCCATAATGTACCATTCCAACTGCCGTTTGAATCAAACAGAGGTCAGATCCACATGAAACCACAGTTTTTCCCGTTCAAGCTTTCGTTTATTTTCAAGGTCACAGAAGTGAAAAGGGACGGGGTTAAAACGGTGTTGTGGAAACTGACTGGCCGAAAACTGCGCAGGAAGCCGTGTCCTGAAATAGAATAACCGGACCAGTGGAACCACGGTTTGAAGGACTTGAGTTGTAACTTCAAACGCAAACGGAATCACGAACCAAAGAAACACAAAAGGACACAAGTTTAACACAAAAGTTTGTTTGATCTATGTCATGCTTGCTAAAATCTAGGATACAACCAGATCCATTTGTCATTTTGGAAGCTTCGTGAAAATACCGTACATCTTGGCAACTCGGAGATTCCGTTACCCGCTTTTCAATTCGCTCTTGAAGGAAAAAAAAAACTTAAGAACTACGAATTGGGGGCTAACTAAGATCAATTGCCTCGAGTTTGCGGGAGCCAAAGGAAGCCATTCTATTGCTGCTGGGTTACACCCGGGCAAATGGGTAATTTAATGAAAATTTACTGCGCGTTCGAGAAATGGGGTACAGCTACCAAACTGTGGGGCTACCGGTACGTAGGCTATGTTCTCAGGTTTTACAGAGGAAGTCAAGGAACAGTATTTGACATTCAAATATATCCCTAGTGGATATGTTAAGCAGTTTTCCAACTCTGTTTATGTGTATCCCGTCTTTTGAAGAAAACTTGTGAACGTAGATGATTTTTTTTTCATCTGGGTGAAAGGAAATTGACGAATAGAATGTGTGAAATACTGTACCGAATTGTTGCAATCTCGAATACGATCCCAGCCCATTTTTACTCTTAAGCTGAGTGTGATCTATCTGGTCAAATCATTGCTTAATAGTCAATATACAATCGTCATCAGCGACAGTAATCAGTCAGTCACGGCGATTCGTCGAACAGGAGATTTTCAAATCGCCGTAAACCCCATAACAAGTCAATCGCACTCTTCTGACAAAAGATTGCTGTTGACACTTGTGTTTTTTGTGTCTTTGCCACTACAGCACAAGTGAAAGGTAAGCTGTGTAACCCCCCCACAGCATCCATTTGATTCAGATTTTGTTTATAAAATGAATAATAATGACACTTTGATATAAGCTCTATCTTGATCAACAGTCGAACCCTTCTTGTTGGACACTGATCTCCAACTACGAATGATACAACGAAGCGTTTAAACTGTATCAACAACGATAATCCAGAGTTAACACATGCGCGCTGTGAACCTGAAAACTGCTGGCGAATCTTCGAGAATGGCTTTTAATTATCAACTCACTGTAAATGTCTCGCATGTGTCTCTGCGGTCTGGAGTGATGGAACACCACTGATTAAAAATCATAACAGGGAAGCCAAACAGAAGCCCAAGTGCTCTGATTCTATGAGTAAACCTTGAGGTTGTCCTCAGTACGTAAGTCATGCATTATATAGCCGGAAGACCATCACTGTTTCACATAGGAAAGCTACTAAAGCTACTCATTATGATGTATAACCATAACTGACAGTACTCAAGTTCTTTTCATAACTTTAATCAATACACCAGTTCTTTGGTTAGTATCCCCTTTCCCTGCACGCCCTGACACTGCAAAGTGTTCATTGTTTTAAAGTGGTTCCAAAAAAAGCAAAAGTTGGAGTTCCCTGAGGCTTTGAGAAAGTAGGACGCCACATTTTTTCTTGTAATGATACCATTGAAAGGTATTCAGTATTTTTTTCAGTAATGGATGGAATACCCAGAATTATATAGGCCTACGTAATGAATTTCTGAACCACACGCACGTGAAATTAACCCTTGCGTAAAAAGGCTGCACTTGCTGGTTATCATTGATAATCAGAACAACATTCACAATCATTGCTGTAACTCCTTTTGAACCCGACTTACGATTTGCGTGAAACCCGGGGAAGAATTTCTTTTCTGCTTCCCTGTTAGAAAAACCCACCCGTTCCCGGTAAATTTCTGTCAACGCGTGAGTTAAAAAATAGATGCGACAAAGGGCTTACCCTTGTTCGGCATTTTCGCACCGTCAACATTATCCCTCACTTTGGAATTTCTAAAATCGCTGTTCTGTTTCAATCTCCAAAGCAGGTGCATGGAAAAAAATTAAAAATAAATGTTAAAAATAACGCAAAGCATATACCAGCGAAATAGTTGTCGGTGCACATGGAATTATTGACTCGTGTGATGAATGGCGTTCACCAGTCAAATTATTTTAACAACCATCAGCAGGAACTAATAATAGCAATCTGTAAACATGGCACCAGTGAAAATAACAGGTTTCGGTTCGTGCAGGTTCGAAAGACAAGTATTCGTGTAAGTGTTACCTATAGAGGATTTAAATGATAAATCCAAACTTTCGTGTGATTGCCCCGTTTAGACGGATACAACGAATTGATTTACAGTCTCTTTCACAACAAGAAAGGAGTGTGTTAAAACAACAAACAGACAGGTCACCTTTTATTCCTTGTAACGATTTGTGAATATTTCTTTGTTGGTTTTAACCGTGCCGTCAAAGTGCTTTCGAGTATACTGCAGTAGTTTACTTCTGCTCTTTCCTTTTGGAAGAAAGGGAAATGACTGCACAAAAGCCATGGCACTCCAGTTGAATCTGATGTAAGCAAACGCAGGAAGTTTCCTTTCACTTTGCAGTAAAATGTATAGATTTTTACACCTGGCATTCACCTTTATCTGAATACCGATTCTACCCAAAAGATCATGTTGGCTTTGAAGGCAGGCAAAATGGTCTCTCACTAGCTTGCGTTACTGTGGCTGAACAGCTCTCCATTAGCATGAAGCATAAGCTTATATGAGCAAAGCACTAAATATCACAAGTTCTTTTTCTTTCTACAAACAACAAGAACAACAACAACAAACAACATCATCATCATCATCATCATCAACAACAACAACAACAACAACAACAACAACAACAACAACAACAACAACAACAACAACAGTAAAGTAATGGGCCTAGTAAATCTGAGAGGAAAATCCTTAACTTTAACTACACATGAGCTGAAGCAATGGCGGGCTGACAAACGCAAGTTTGTTCTGTTTCCGACCACGAGGTGCGAATCACATGCCCCAGGCTCGATAATTTGGTGTATTGCCTTTTTTCTTTTTTAAATCACTGTGTACGATGATTCATTTAAGAGTTGGGAAAAATTCACAACTTTTGAAATTAAGATGGAACCTCATGTAGCCTCTATGTTCCTGAACTCATGCTCTTGAAAGCGGTCGTGCTCTTGAAAGTATAGCGCCAGTCCAACTCCAATTGGATACTTGATAACAAATTAAAATAATAAAAAAAATAAAAAAATAGGGTAACTTATTAGTTAGGGTCAGGTCCGAAAAAATAACTATGTCAACCGTCTAGTGGTGACCGCATCGGAGCTGACCAGCTACCCAAGGGGCTCGTAAAAATGCTTTTATTTGTCATCTAAAAAACTTGGAGACCCTCTTCCTCGGCAAACAAACCTCCTGGAAATTTGAACCACCAGGGAAAGACAAAAAAACCCAAGCAGCGGGCGAAAACCAGGTCGCGCGAGGTTTCTGGCGGGTAATTTATGGGGCACGACGCGGCCGGGGTCCCGAGACGTTGAACCTGGCGACCCGGTGATTATCAGCGTGGCTGTGCACACCACCTCGAAGTAAATAACGGCTAAGAGGTGATGTAGTAGCTGTTTGTGCATGTTCTCAACAGAGATTTTGTTTTTAAATTTAACATTGTTATATGTTTATATGTGTGGAGACTTTAAACCTAAGGCTATACCTTAAAGAGGAAAGGGAATTGCTTGAGTTTTGCAACACGAAATGTGACATGCTGTGTTTCTTCGTTTTGCCGTTTGGTTGGAACACGAAGGCCATGCATGTCACTACTTTGTCACTTGAAATTTTCATCGAGCAATATCACATACAAATCATATGCTTTTCAAATGTTCATATCAGTTAATTTTCAGTGATTATAAATCAGGATGAGCGATGTTTGCTTTTTTTGGACTTGGCCACGTGAAATTGAACAAAACCCACAGCGGGTTTCCAAGGCGGATCAGTCTCAAAACCACATTCGGACGAGAAACTACTGAACAACAAATATCAACAAAATATACATAAAATGACCATAAAAAACATCAGATATGGAAGCCAATATTAAGGGCTGTATTTTCTTTGTAGGCCCACATCTGTTCCTGTTGGACTCTAGTAAAGCAACGGTGATGATTATCCACACGTAGATAATATTTTGAAGAGAAAATGCTCGTTTGATTTTAAAAGCAAAACTTTCAGAGAGCGCTTTGCCGTGCGGGAAAGCATCGCGGAAGAAAACCAAACAAAAGACGTAAAATGATCATACGGCCACCCCACTTTGCCGAGATGTCCCAAGTGCGGATCACATGTGGCGTATTTAAGGACTTTCCGCAAATTCTGTATGACACCGACACCTCCAGGTTGCAGGGGAAATTCTAGCGGGAAAAGGGCCCCAGGCACACGGGTCTGCCAAACGTTTGTCACCGCGAGCATGTTGCTGAACCGTGTCGTGTAAAGCCGGTATATACAAATCGAGGAATTAAGTTACATGTAAAACAAGTCAGAACAATGTTGTCGGTATATTTATTGTCAACACCCATTGATTGCTCGAAGGCAACGTTGTCCAGCTAAGAACGTATTTTTACTACCGTAAGTCTTTGTTCGGCAAAGAAGTAAAATAATTCACTTTTGACATTGATATTGATATTTGGAATTGTCTACTGTGCATGGGTTTTTGTTTATTATCGTTTAGCGCACCTCGAAAAAAGAGACTTTTGGGGTAAACCTTGGAAAAAGTTAGTTTTAGCAAATGCGGGTGGGTATTTCTTCCATAGATGGCAAGGACACACCCTGTTGTTGTTGTAATGGATTGTAAAAGACGCGTGAATATGAAACTGACCCCGATTATGTTCCCGAAAGTGTGTGGATGAAGTGGGTGTCGGACTGATTGATACTGATCACAGTCTTGCGTTTCTCCTCAGGGACTCAGATGATCGGGACGGATAAAAAGCGCGGCAGGCAGACATACACGCGGTACCAGACGCTGGAGCTAGAGAAGGAGTTCCACTTCAACCGCTACCTGACCAGGAAGCGGCGCATCGAGATCGCTCAGAGCGTCTGCCTGACGGAGCGGCAGATCAAGATCTGGTTCCAGAACCGCCGCATGAAGTGGAAGAAAGAGCAGTGCAGGGACCCGTCCGCGGCCGACGTCTCCCCCGGGAAAACGGAGAATGAAGACCGGGACGAAGATGAGGAAGATGACGAAGACGGAGACGACGAAGAAGAGGACAGCATGGAGAAGGGACAATCGGACGAGGAAGGGAAAAAGTGATGGGTGCCACGCACCGCGCCGACTGTAAAGTTGAATCCCGAACGTTGCGTCGCAGGAGCGTGCCTTCTGGCTTCTTCGCCTCCCTTCGAAACAGAACATGGCGGATGGGGTTGTTCTGGGGCGGTCACGTGACCCGGACGCCTGGTGAATTTCCCCTCAGAAGGCCGAATCATATTATATTGACCGTGTAATAACCTACACGTCACGCTTGCGAGTATCGCCCAAGATATATCGACAGTTTCTTGTCCTCTCCCCCACCAAAAAATTGGCCGCGTGTCGTGTTTCGTTCGCTTGGGATTTGGTTCTCTAGTGAGAAATTCATTAGCTGTCTCCCCCCATGTTGTAGAGAGTCCTATCATAGGTGAAATGATGCAGCTGTATGTGAGTGACATTTTCCCCCTTTTCTCGGTGAGGATGAACGGTAGGCTTATCCCGAAAACGAGAACACAAAGATTATTCTGGACCCGTTCCATTAGTTTTAGTCACGTTGGTCCAATTTTGTACAAGTTCTTATGCGCTACTACAAGGTCCCAATTTGAAAGTTGTTCGTAGCCTACACGTCGAATAAACTGTAAAGGAGACTATGCATGTGGAATGATACTGAGTCGGTAATGCAAAAAAATAGCGTTTGTTGCATGCAGTATCACTTAACTCTAAAAGACACAAAACAAAATTCAAAACATTGTGAGTGATTCAGATTTACATATCCTGCTCACGATTTGTACAAAATCCCCCCCTCACTGTTCGTGTATGTTACAATTGTATAGATCTGCAAAAAAACCAACAAAAACCACACCGTCACGTATTTCGTAATAATATTGTATCGAAAAATGGAAACGTAATGTTCCTGCCACATAACAAAATGAATACAGCATGTATTAATTTTAGTTGTTCTAATATGTAAAAACAAATAATTAAAGAGGAATTAAAAATCTTTGCAGTCTTTATTAACTGCATTGGACAAATATCGAACAACTTTGATGGCTTAATTAACACTGAAATTTAATATTGAACTATGAGGCGTTGGAGAAAGATTTGAATAGGTCCATCTGCCTTCATCATAGACATTTATGATTAAGTGAAGTTAGTGGGTGAATGATACGTTTTATTTCTCCAACATATGCAGCACAAACGAATGTACACATCAAGAAGGGAAAAATGAACCCACACATGTAGCAGTTACAGTTTCGTTTCGTACTGTTTTTGTACTTCTGATACAGGTGTTATACCGGAGACATTATAGATTTATTATTCATGTTTCGAGACTGTCGTGTTTCACATCAATCTTGTGCCGGTGGATAAAAAAAAAACCTAAATGGGATTATGAGTTGTACACATTTGTCATTGAGACTGGTATTATGAATTGTGTGTGTATCAGTGGAAGTATTAAGGAGACACTTGGAAAAAAAATTGGTTCCCGGTTAATTTATTTCCTGTAATGTACAACTACGTGGAATGCATGTACGCGCGCTTTGGCTGCTACCTAACCACAACGCGCCAACCTTGTATTTCGAATTCTCCTGTCTGGAGGAGGAGCTCAATGGCTCATTTTCTGGGGGGGGGAGCGGGACTCAATGCATGGGTCCACTCACAACAAAGCTGGTCTTCTTTGTCTTCTGGATCCATGTTCTAAATCGGTGAAAGACTGAAGACTGTTTAGTAAATTTGTCAAGCATCCCCTTTGAAGGTCATTTGAAAGGAACCATGATGAGATATGTTTAAAAAAAAACCTTGAACCTCGCGGTGTTCCAGTCATGCGCATCCATTTTCTCGACCGTGAACTGGTCAGCTTTAATAGCGATACATCCTTGATTTGAAGCAGGGCTCACTAAAATGACATGTTGATTTTTTTCCCTATAGGGTAATTTTTTTTGTCTCCATTTGAAATACTGAGTAGCCTACAGTTAAATGAAACTAAATCAAAGTGTGCACCTTCCCATCTCTGTTTGCCCGTAAACGCATCAGCATATTCTGGCCACGGCTGAACTTAGTGATGTAACAAGAAATCGGGCCAATGCACTTGGCGGAGTTTCTCCTATAGCCGACCTAAACTTGAACCCCCCAACCCGAAGGAGATAAACATGACCACGTGTTACTCATCTTCGTCTGACCTATGCAGAACGGCTAGACAGACACAGGAAATTACTAAATAAACCAGACCGGAGAGATTATAAATTCTGTGGATTTCATCACAAAAAACAGTCTCGTCAACTTGTGAACACAACCTGGTCAGGATGACACCGTCATGCTCGCTGTCACTGAACAATGAAGTGCGTAGCTTAAGTCCAATAAACAGAGGCCTACTGATAGCATACACGCCTGCACAAAAGCACCTAGTCGGATATACCTTCAACTTTTTTTTTACCTTAATGGTATATTCCCACGTAAAAGAAGACAATTTAAGGCCAAATAGTATACTATTATAATGAGAATATCAGTATTTTGCTGCGGTGTTGTTTTGTTCTGTGAAATCGCGAGCAATCCTTAGTGACGCGCTTTTGGGGGCTTTTTGCGTGATTTTCTCCCTTTTGATGAAATTATCGACCTACGTACATTGGCTCCCCATAGCCTTCGTCCACAGTACTGTTGCAGCAATGCACCATGCTGAGAACGGTGGAACGAACAAACGTGCCGTCGGCGACCGAGTCGCCACAAACCGCTTCACTGCCGTTGCTTCGGTTCGTCGATGATACATCGTCTAGTGAACTCAGTCTGCAGTTTGCCTTGATGGCCCAAGAGCTTTCTTTTAATGGGAGGAAATAACATGTAACAGGGGCAATAACATCGCATATTATACATGTTTGATTGTGGTCGGGGTGCACCCGTAAATCCCGCACTGGAAAGACGATTTGGGGGAATGTTATAGGAACCGCATATTGGACCAATGTGACAAACACGAGATAAAATATAGCCACCTTTTCATTGTGGCCTGGCGGCTTTGGTGCTGAACCCTCGTGGTAGGCCCGATTAATTGGTGCCTTTGCACACAAGTTCATTTGTTTCCTATTGTCTGTGACGCTGGCAATGATAATTTGATATTGACATTTGACGGAAATTTTGTTGTTTGCTGCGACAAAAGAGGGGGAAGTCGGTAAAGCCTCTGTGGTTTTTTTTTTCAAGCAGAGGTTAAACGATTTGTCAACAGTCATGGCTAGAACCTGCGTGGGACATTACAGTGATACAGGCGGCGCGGATGTTGAATTGGTATCGAAACGGCATCGCGTCAAAGGCATGCCGCGTCCACTTTTAACTCACTTCGAGGTCCGTACAAACAGACCGGGTAGGCTAAGCGCCGCAATACGTCGGTCATTTTCACACCAAAATTGTCTTTTTATCGTCAGCGTGTTGGAAATCTCTCAGCACGGTAAACATAGACTTTGGGCCCCCGGTCGCTGCCGCCCGGTCGGGTTGCTTCAAACGCTGCGTCCTAACGAGCAACAAATTTGGCCCTTCTTGTGATGGAGTTTTCGTTGGAAAACACAGCTGCAACTGTCATCCGTGTGCAGTTAGGTGCAATTGTCACTGTATGGGGACACATTTCCGTCTACATTTCAATTTGAAATATAATTCAATTAGCCCCGTCTTCATAACTGCATCCTTGAGATTCAAAGTTGTCCGACTGAATCAGGAGAAAAAGAATTTTGCCTGAAGTTTGAGCGCCAAAAGTGGGCGGGAAGTTTATGACAGACGGCAAATATACCCGTCGGGGTTACACGAACTAATTCAAACACGCTGAACAAAATGTCACCCCAATTATAATGGGCAATACAATCTAGCAGATCGGGACTCATGAAAGGCTCAATAAACACGTGTCTGCGAGTTAAAGGGAAATTCGCTACGAATCGCCCGCGCGTTACCACTTGCATCTGACAAATAGATAACGGCTTCACGCTTGCGAGGTTACAAACCAAACTACAGTGAGGCTTGCTGTGGGCACGGGAAAAAGTACTACAGCCACAAGTCAAAGTGTTTGCACTTTCTAATCCGCTCATATTTATGGAATCTAGACAATATATATGTCAGTGCGTTTACGACTTCGCAGCCTAGCAAGCATGTGAGGAAGAAGCTGGAATGATAGCGCATGCAGCCAGCAAGAGAAACACACTAAATTTACGATGTATGCTTCGTTTGAATTTACGCAGCCAAATAGACAGCCCTCTTCACTTCTTAACTTACTATCTTTTAGACCATAAACTTAAATTATAGCGATATTGTCCAGCATAGTAAATCCTGACAGGGTGAGAGATATGTCTTCTGGTTGGGGGATCGTTGCTTGGTGCCCGCTACGCGTGTATATTTAAAAAGCTACGAATTACACGCTGTTCGTTTAACCTTCAACAACCATAGTCGGTGTCACCTACAAATTAGGTGCGAAGTATGGTGTTGGCCGCAGATCATCTTGCGCGCTGAGAGTCATTAGCGGTTGGCACTGCGTCTAGTCCAAAGAAGACGGTGGTGTATATTTGTGAGCAGGCGTGAGGCTAGGGCTCCGCGGGATGCGGGAAATGGTGCCATCGAACCCATGTCAGGCCGTCTCTCCAAAGCATTATCGGGGACGTGTCCCCTGGTTCTGCTGCACGTGAGATGAATTTCGCTCATTAATCAAGCTCGCCAGGCCAAAGGCTGTCCGAAAAACAATAGATATTTAATGAAGAAAACGCAAATTGTATTTCAAACGCAAATTGTATTGCCAACATAGCTCCGGTAGACTTTTTTAATTCAGCGTAGTGAAACTGTCACGGAAACTATAAAAAATAATTGTTAAAAATTAATTAACTTGAGGAACTACACTAATTCGCTAAGTCTTATTCTCCGTTATCCGTGTGCTTTACATATTTTCATTTCTGACCTGTTTCCCTTACTTGAGTTTATTTCAATATATCTTCAACTTCATGTAAAAATAATGAAAAGGCCTAAAATATTGATGTGTCTGCCAACTTGAAAATGAAACAGTTAGTTTTCAAACAATTAGTTTCCAATTAACACGCACAATCCCTTCAACAAAAGTTCTTGCAGACCATAAAATTTCAGTTGTGAAAAGAGATAATTTGCAGCTGTCGGTCAACGCCTCTCGTGTATTTCCTTCCCTATTTGTGACGGTCGTCCCATACACTTGCTCTCTCGTGTGCGATCCAGCCCAACCGGCCGGATCCAATGGACATCATACTTCACACCTCGGCTGATGCTCAACACACCGTCATGAGGGTTACCGGGCCACTAACGTTTCCCGCGTGCGCTGCTGAGCAAGGTCGCCCGGCCATTGGCCGGTGAGCCTGCGGAAAACTCAGCGCGTCTGGCAAGTATCACGATTAGGTGGAAAGCACTGGACCGCATGGCCTCGTCGGGTGAACGGTTAAGTAGGCTCAGGAAGGGGAGGGAAGACCAAAGGAATTACCTATCTCCCAGCCTAATTCTGTTTTGTTCCAATCATATGAAATCGTTTTATTTGTATAATTATTAATCATATTTGAATACAGAGCATAGACGCATAAGCCTAATCGAATCCTTATTTACCACAAAAGACATTCAAAAGTCAGGGCAGTTGGATTTCGCTCTGGCTGAAGGAAAAAAAGCAAGGACTAAAATTCCTTTCAGAAGGCCCTACACTAAAAAAAATAATCCATAAAACCTGGTGCCTTGCCTTGTTCGGCGTCAGTTATTCATTTTGGGTCCTGGTCCCTATACCTCTTTAAAAAAAAAATAATAATAAAATAATGGAAAAGGACCGATGAAGCCTCAAGGAAATCTCCAGTCAAAGCAAACGAAATTTCTTGAAAGTGTCAGTCAATATGAGCCAAGATTTGCTCCCCCTACCACCCCGCGTGTGTAGCGTGTGAACATTTTGATCATGCATGTAATTCACGACCACGTCGCTTTGCTGCCAAATGAGCATCATCCGTTATCATCACGGGGGAGTGGGTCATCATCAAGGTAAGGACAAGGTCACGTGATGAGATATGACGTAAGCCCCCTTCCCGCCACTGCGGAAACCTGTTTACCGTCTCTGGTTTGTCTCCGCCAGTTTATGGGGATGAGGGTTTTTTTGGCGAGGCAAACGCAGCTCGTAAATCATTGTGGGCCAGAATGAAAAAACTGTGTCCAGGGCGCGCCACCGAAATATTTGTCCTGTTGGGTACTGCATGGGTGAGGTCAACACAGACAACAAGAAATCAAATTCTTCCGGTCGGTTTGAGAAGCTGTTTTCTTTCGAGACTTGGCCGTGCCCAAATGAAACAGGTCGTCATCTCAAAGTCATTTCTTTGCAGCATCTATGATTGTTTTGGTTTCAATTTATTTGTTACTTTTTCATTTTGGGGGTATTACAAGTAGTGA